CTCTCCTGGATGGCCCTCCCTAGGCGGTAGTGTCGCAAAGTAAGGATGGTTTACTCCCTCCTGTGTCACAGCAGCTGAGGCCAGCCTAGGCCAAAGCCAGCAGCCAGGAACTAGTTCAAATCGATGTTCCCATATGGCAGGCCAGTGTCTCCCCTAACAGGCTGCTTAGCGTGTGTGCAGTGCCACAATGCCAGTATTTCCCACTGTCTTGCTTCACTTTCTTTTTTTCCCCATTCAGTTTGACTTACTTTTGTTGGGAAGCCAGATTTACAGAGAGAAGGAGAGACAGATAAAGAGAAAGATTTCCATCCACCAGTGCACTCCCCAAATGGTCAAAACCATGGCCAGAGCAGACCCGATCCGAGCCGATCCAGGAGCCGGGAGCTTCTTTCAGGCCTCCCACATAGGTGCAGGGTCCCATACACTTGGGTCACCCTCCACTGTTTTCCCAGGCCACAGATGTATCCAGAAATGCCCAGTGGGTTCTTTCTTCAGCTTAGTATAGAAATAAAAAAACCAGGAATCTGTTGCAGAAAGAAAAGTTGATTTGCAATGGACCAAGTGAACAGGGAAGGGAGATGGGAAGGGGAAAGCACCCCTGGAGAGAAAGCCAGGAGGTGGTGCGTCTCATAAGAGGAGGGACAGAGAGACACCAAAGGTTTGAGGAAGGGTCTTGGGATTTTAAGCATTCTCTGACCCTTCCTTGTTGGTCTGGGAACCTACAGGTAAGATTGGTGGTCCCTATTGGTGGTCTCTTAGGAACTGGGTGGGCGATGCTGGTGCTGCCCACCTGAAGGTGTGGCCAAGACCTCAGCAGGCCTGGATGGTCTCGGTCCCCCCTCTTGAAATCCCACATCCTACTTCTGTAGGGGTAAAAGGGCGCTGATGTCTTCTGGCTACTTCCTGATGAAAAGGGGCGTCATTTGGGTAAATGGGCTCCCTGGGTGTGTGGGATACACAGAGACAGTCTGGGTTCTCCATAGGCTAATTTTCTCCAATTAATAGCTCAAAGCAGGCATGTAGGCTGCAGTGTAGCAAATTCTGCTGTTCAGAAGAATCCCAGTATCTAAGGTGGCAGAGATAGAAATGTCTCAGTTCAGCACCCCCATTTCCTACACCTGGTAGTTCTGGGACTCCTGCCAGTTCAAGTATGTCCTGGTTTTGCACTTGGACACACTCTTAAGAAGAGCATGTACTGGGAGTACTGAAATGATATCTATGGCTAGGCCATGGCATCCAGGTGTGCACTGATGACCACAGAGGAAGGAGGTGGGTGTGAGTTCAGTACACTTGACTCATGCTCATTTGACCTTCCTTGCATTTGGGATTGTCTCTGTTAGAACAACATCCTGCTAGCTACAATGATGGTACTGAGTGACAAGATATGGGGGAGGAACACATAGAAAGCACGTATCTGTGAGGTGCCTTCCTGAAAAGCGGCTTTAAATCCTCCAGTCCCTCCCAGGTTGGTTCTGCAGAATCTGCTTGACAGTGGGTGCTGACCCTAAGCTGTAGACTCGATATGCACCTCAGGAGAAAACAGCCTTGCACATCAGGTGCTAAGATTAAGCCTATAAGAACCTTCACCAATATAAGGTCCAGATGAGGAAAAGGAGAAAGGGACCAGTGAGGATGGGTTTGACTCTTGGTCTCTCTCTCTCTCTTTCTTAGATCCAGGAGACGTGCCTCACACAGCTTTCTCTTTCCAATGTATGAACAGAAGTGGTTGCATTTGGAGCTGTTTCTAGGCAGGATCCAGAATATGGGGGGGGGGAAAGTAGGTGTCAGGCAAGGACCCCTGTGAGGCCTTCATTTTGGGGTACTGTCATCTAAGTCCCAATCAACCACAGAGAAATCCATTGGCATCATGAATGCAAAAAGGTGCATAGGCCAGCCCCTAATTCCTCCTGCTCTGGCTTGACACTAGGATGCTGGACTCTTTGCCAATGTCTATGCCAGCAATTATGGACATATGACTGTGTAAGAACTATACTGTAGTAGTGATATAGGGGTGAGCAAGGAGGGAATTGGGAAGGGAATAGGGGAAACCCAGGGCCTAATGAAACTGCAGCATAAAACGATAATGATAAAAAGAAGTAAAATTAAAAAAAAAAAAAAAGGAAATGGTGATCTGACCCTCCAACTATTCCCTTCACACCCCACCCACCAAGCCTCATGGTCCATCAAGGAATCACCAGGAAAAGACAAGGGGTTGGTGGGGCGCGCGCACGCACACACACACACACACACACACACACACACACACACACACACCTTCCACGCATTAGTTATTTCCCAAATGCCTGCAAAAGCCTAGGCTGTGTTGGCCAAGCTCTGGAGCCCAGAACTTAATGTAAGCCTCCCATGTGGGCTAGCAGGGACCCAAGTAGCTGAGCCATCACTGCTGCCTCCCCAGGTATACATATCCAGGAAGCTGGACTTGGAAACAGAGCCAAGTTCAAATACAGGCACTCTGACATTCAGTATGGGAAGCTCAAGTGGTGCCTAGTTCCGTTGATTTCATGTTCAGTTTAAAACTCAATCAATTTTTTCCATAGAATGTATCTGGAATTGACTTTGCTTTTCTATCTAATCACATAAAGCCATCATATTTTAGGGAACATGGAAGTTATTTCCATGTAAATTTCAAAATGTCTTTCATGTGGACACATGTGCCCAGTTAGCCTAGTTTTTGATATTACTCCTAGTTAATATGTGATCTAAGTGTAGGTAAAGAACGAACAGTAAGAGAATGTAAAGAGAGGGTTAAGACTTCCAATCAAGACCCTAGCAGAGGCCAGCACGGTGCTGCAGCTCTCACTGTGGCACTGGCATCCATCCCGGACTGTTGGAGTGACCGTGTGAGCATCCACTTCTCGGCTTCTGATCCAGCTCCCGGCAGTGTGTGTTTGGGAAAGCAGACGATGGTCCAAGTATTTGGCCCTCAGCCACCTGTATGGGAGACCTGGATCCTCTTTCTGGTCTGGCCTAGGCCTAACTGTTGCTGTCTTTTGGAAAATGGATGAGGACATAGAAGATTAGCTTAGAAACTTTTGGCCTCTGGCACACTTGACCTGATCACAAAACCATCATAGCTTTACTCTGGCACGTTGTCAGGGCAGCCCTGTGGACATCATACCATCTCACCAGTGTGATGTTGCTACACGTGCATTCTTTAAAAAAAAAAAAAACACGATTTATTCATTTCCATTGGAAAGTCCCCCATCTGATGATCTACCTTTAGTGACTGAACCAGTGGTAAGGCGCTGATCTGAAGTCACGAAACTTCCTCTGGGTCTCACAGGTAAGTGCAGGAACCCAGGGCCTCAGGCCTTCCTAGACCTTGGGCCATACTCAACTACTTTCCCAGGCACAAGCAGGGAGCTTGATGGGAAGTGGTGCTGCTAGCATTAGAACTGGCGCCCATGTGGGATCCCAGCTCATTCAAGACAAGAATTTTAGCTGCTAGGACACCGCGCCAGGCACTATACATACAATCTTAACACAGCTGTAAACGTACAGGGGCCTTCATCCCACCAACAGGCATTTACTGCACAGCTGGCATTCCTCTAAACACCACAGGTGTGAACAGAACTGTCAAATCCAGAGCTCAGACATCAGGTGGAAAGACAGACCAGTCAGTGGACAGAACATGAGCTCCCTCTCTATTTTCAAACAAATGAAATTAAGAAATAAAAACATCTTTGTTATTTATTTATACTCATGATTTGCAGCTTCAAGAGCTTTTTGTGAAGCCGTTATATGAATATAGGTATAAAGTGAGACTAGAGCACCGATTCCACATGCCGCCTCAAAGGGAGGGGTGTGATGTCAGTCCCCATCAGTCTGCTCATCTGGAATCTGAAGCAGCATGTTAAGGAGCAGAACATGAGTTGAAAGGAATGTCAGAGAACACAGCGCCGTGTAAGGACGGTGTCCTATGTAGAGGAGGCAGCTAACAGGGCTACTGTTTATGACCTACATACCGGAGGGATTCCTGTCACAGGGTCAAGTTCAAAATGGCTACTTGAATGTGAGCACCAGTTTTTGGTCAAGGGACCCAGGGTCTCTGGCCAAGAGGGTTCTAGAGATGCTGTGTGTAGCACACAGGGAATGCCACAGCTGCCCATGGAGGCAGTGATGATCCCTGTGAGGGGGGCAGGACAGGTGTGTTCAAAGCAAAGGGGAGTGAGCCAAGGTGAGGCGACTCTCATGTTTTCTGCAAAGTCTTTCTTCTGTCAGGATCCTGTTCAGAGCTGGACCACACAACTGGGGGATGGAGGTGGGCTGTCTGTCCCTCATCCTTACCAGTCGTGTGCATTGCAATCTTGTCATTGCTGCACATCACCACCTTCCTGTACACTCATTTCTCCCACTCCTCGCCCTCCCTGGAACATCTCCTGGGGTATTCCCACACCCCCAAAAAGCAGCAGCTGTGCCAAGTCAGAGTGTCATTTCCTGTCTGGTTAATCACTATTCCTATCACCTTGACTTTTTCTCTCTGTACATGGCTGTGTGTCTTCCCGTAAGTTTAGCAGGCATTTGGAACCTTTTCTTGGGCATGCAGAAAAAGGTGAGTGTAGCAATCTCAGGCCACAGGCTGTGGGTTCTACCCCATCTCTGGATTTCTGTGCTAAAATGGATGGAAGCTTGTGGAAGCCACAACCTGTTCAGCTCACCGTCATATCCAGGACACAGAGGCAGCACTGCCTGCATCCACTCTTCCCCCAGGGCCCACAAAATGCCAGGGAGTAGTGGTCAGTATTCCTCTGTCATGGTCTCCACCCTCACATGTGCTTGTTCATTCCAGTGAGATGTATACTAATGTTTCCAGACTTTGACCCCGGGGTACAATAGAGTCATGGCCTTTCTTGTTTGAGTGTCTCAGGGCATAGAACCAAACCTGTCTACAGGTTTCAGAAGAAAACCTGAATCCCAGGTTCTTGTGCATTTTTGCCTCTATGCATTTTTGACAAAAAACAACAGACAACAAAATAGATCATCTATATATTTGATGAGATTCAATTTATTAAAATATTGGGTTTTCCAGTATATATTGGGTTTTCACCATATCTGGTTCTGGGGACCTGAGAGGGAAAGAGAGAAATCAAATGAGAATCTTGGTCAGGTCCTGCTGACAGCTGAGTCTGAAGGGCCTGCTGGTAGTGGCAGAGGCTAGGGCCAATATGAGCTCCTTCAGACTACCATCTGAGTTACTAACAAGAAACAGATGCTACTGAAGAATTCTAAGTCAGGCATCCTGCAAATGCTCTCACTGAAGAGTCCATCCATGATATGGATAGATCTTTGTATGATGTATCATATTTTATGGGATGCAGGTATATGTTTCCAGGAGCCTCAAATGAGAAATGGACAACTAAGATGGAAACAATGTGTTCAATGACAAATGTTTGAAAGGAAACCCAAGGTCTAGGGGCAGATCTGGTCCCTCATCCCAAGTTCTCATCCATGTCCCCACATAAGAGCGATGGGACATTCAATGTGACCCTGGGAGGACATGAGGGAGAAAGTCTTGGTCATTCACAACACCACAGCAATCAATACACACATCACTCGTTCCAGTACACCAGACCTTTCCTACCTTCATAAACGATCGATAGCACTTTACATAAAATTCTGGTGGATGATAAGAGCCACCCTCTGCTACCACATGTCTGAGTGGGTGGCTTCTCAATAGAATCACTCTGAGGGTGGACGCTGCCACATGATGGCGTATTGTGAAGGGAACACTTCGAAAGCCGGTAGGAAGTTACACTTCCTATGAAGCTAGGACAACGGTTTTTCACGACAAAACCTGAAAAGAGGAAAACATTCCTAAGAAGGCTCACAAGTGCCAAGGCCATGAGCAGGGTCTAAGGGGCACCCAGGCAAGCAGTGGTACTCTAGGGAGCTACCGTGGCAAACCTACACTATCCTCAATACACAAAGATGCTTCTACAAGCTCTACCTGGAGAAACAGGAGAATTCATAAAGGAGAGGCATGGGTACCGTGGGCCAATGGCTATTGGAATCTGCCTGAAACATCCAGAGCAGGTAAGTGAACTACCCAGCAAATACTCACTTCCAAGAAGCGCATCAGAAAAGAAGTATTGATGTTTATTAAAGATCATGGGCCGTGCACATGGGGGATCAATATCCTGGTAACAAGCTTCACGAAGTGCGCACCACTTAGGCCCCTTCACAGAGATATCACAGGAGGACATAGTGGATTTATTCAAGGCAGTCTTCTGGGATGCTCTGTGGAGGGACAAAGGGAAGGGATGTTACTAAGGACAGATGCAAGGTTTCCCTAGCGTTAACAGCACATTGGAGAACAACAAAACAAAACAAAACAAAAATGGCACACCAGAGAAGAGCAACTTGATCTCACCACCACAGTGCCCCGGGGTCCAGACCAGGCCCTGTCAGGTTGAACTAGAGGAAACAAGGTTGGCGGCTGAGACAGGACTCAGCCTCTTGTTGTGGAGACAACACAGAATCTGTGAGGTCAGAAATGCTACAGGAGGGGGCATGCATCCTGGGCCACCAAGGGCAGTGGTCCAAGGAGGAGGGCTGAGACACGGAGGGCCCTATGCCAGGCTAGAGAGTAGGGGATTCTCAGAGATGTGGGTGTCCTGGGATAGGCTGGAATAGGGACCTCCTGGGCCCATGGTGGATGACAATACCCACATCACACCCTAACCCAATACACCAATGTCAACATGCACACCCCTGCCTTTGGTGAGCCCTAAATATACAGAAGTGTACATCTAGATGGCAGCCACAGACACGCTTGCATACTTACCCATTTTGGATATCACTACAATCTCCAGATACTTCCCCCTCCTCCACAACCGCCTCCTCATCAAGCAGTGCTTCGCTCGAGGTGTCACCTTCCTGCTTTGCCTCCTTATCTGCCTTAGGGCTGCAGGTCTCAGCTGCTGCAAGAAGCACACATGGGGCAAGGTCAGGACAAGAAGAAAAATGGAAGCAAAGCTCTCACCATTTGTTCTGCACCCTCTGGCCTAGACCTGGCCTGGTATGTGACTGTGAAGTCACACCTGCCAGGGGAGAGCCTTCTTCCATGGCCAGCCTCATGCCTCTGCCAACCATCAGAGGGCCCCATATTGGACCTTGCACAACCTACCTCTCAAGCAGAATCTCATGTCAAAGAGGCCTGACACTCAGGGAGAAACTAGGACCCAGGAGGCTAGCTGTCTGACCCAACAGGGTTGCCCTCGATTGACCAGCTGGTTGAAGGGGCTCGCAGACTTGGGAACCAGGCCTTGGTGAGGCAAAAACCATGCACCATGGAAGACTTGCCTGCAATGGTTGACCTGCAGAGGACAGGTCAGCCTTGGCTGGAGATAGTCATACCCACAACTGGGCGAGCCTTCCAACATGACTAGTCTCATGAACTCTGTTAGCCTTCAGATTCCAAAGTCACCACACTGGGTTTACACTCGAAGGCTGGAGAGCGGACTGGGGTTGGTGACAATCAAGGAAAAATAAACCAGGCATCTGAGGCAAAAGCTGCTCTAAACATCGCAACGGGGGTTAGAGGTTCAGGCACCAGGCCTTGGAATGCAGAGAAAGCCCTTTGAGGCCAGCCAAGTTTGTAGCTAAGCATTGAAATTCGGTGAATGACACGACACCAGGGGGACAGGGCTGCCAGGAAGGGTGAGTAAAACCACAAGATACCTAGATTGTCTCACAGAGTCGGGGTTTAACCACGCACATGAGCAGTAACAGCCAAAATAGGGTGACTGTACCAGGAAACTGGACAACAAAGGCCAGTAGAAAAAGAAAAACAACAAAGGAAATCATGACGAAACGGAATTTTGCACCAGGGCAGAAATTCAGAGAGGTTAAGGTGGAAGGGGAGTAATGCACACAGTAAAACCATGGGGTGGTGAGAAAGCAGAAAACAGACCTCCTGTGCAAGGATTCCAAAACAATTTGCAAAACAGTGCATTTCAAACAAGAAAAAAAAAAGAAACTGGGGGGATGAAAAAAAATGGCTGAATATATTTATACACTCCCCAAAAAGACTCATCGAAACAGAAATACTAAAATAATGGTGGGAAAGGGTGGGAACACAAAGAACAGACACAGAGAGGAAGAAAAGAAAAAAAAGAGTGAAACATAAGGAAAAAAATAAAAGAAGGTAAAATGACTCACCCTCGACGGCCTCGGCCCGGAGGAAAGGCGCCTCCACACGGCTCTTCAGGCTGACGACAATGCCCATGCTGGCAGCCCACTCTTGCAAAGCCCAGTGGGCCAGGGCCTCGGGTCTCCTATTGGTAAATCTGGTCACGTCCAGGTAGTGTGGGGCTGAGCCCGGCCTGAGGAGAGAGGCCAGGGGGAAGAGAGCTGAGCGCTGCTGGATCCAGGGGCATGGCTTGGGACCCGGCTGCCCCAGGAACCACCACCGCCAGCGCTCGGCCACCCTCTTGGGCCCAAGCGGCCGGCCTCCCAAGGAAAAGCACTGTGACAGTGGCAACCCATGCCAGCGGGGACCCGAGCGAGCCAGCACCGTGGCACCACTGCACCTATGGGTGCAAGCTGACACAAGGGGCCTGGGACACCCTGCTGGCCGTGGTCCAGGTGGGGGTGGTGTTTGCGTTGCGTGGGCACGGCCAAGAGGTGGGCTTTGAAGCACAGCATCCCACGTCACCCCCGAGCCCCAAGGCCCTGGCTCCCTCACGCTTGGGCACGCACCAGGTCGAGCCAGAAGCAAGCCCAAGGAGCCTGGGCAACGCCAACAGTCCCACTTGAGCTGGCCGGGGACATGTCCATGCGCCCGACTCCGGCAGGACCCAGGAACACACATGCTAGGGCTTCCCGCGGCCACCTGGCCCTCTGCTCCGTGTGCGTGCCGCATGCCGGCCACACCAGCTACTCACTCGCGCAATGACATCATTCACCCACACTTTCCCGGGGCACTCACACACACACTGTTACGGGCTTCACTGCCTACTACTCGCACGCAACACGTGGAGATGGGACGGCACGGATACCCCACAAGGGGTCCTGATCCTCCGGTCCCTTGCGACACAGGGAAGGCCCCAGGGGGCTTCACCACTGCAGCTGACGGCCAGGGACGCGGCTCTCAGGGAGGCACACTGCCAAGAGCGCTCTGCAGACCAGCAGTGCCCCACCAGAGCAGTGGTGCCGTGCAGGGCTAGAACGGGGCCTTCCTGGCACACGGCCGGCCTTCCACAGCTCACCCCACGGGCCCTCCCCCGGCAACACAGACACACCCCACATTCCACTCAGGCCTGGCAGCCATGTCCAACAGCCACTGTCACATGCACACACTTACCCCGAGTCCACGTCGGTCCTGCCAGTGGGAATGGCCAGTGCTTTGTCATTATCTGGTGTGGGTGGTCCTACAAAGGGGGCGGTGGCGTCCACTGCAACGGAGGGGCAGGGGAACTCCCGTGAGACCAAAGCACGCGAGGGTCCCCAGCGTGCCAGCTCCGCAGCCAGGGGAGGGCCGTGGCCTCAGCTCACGCCACCGCCTGGGTGGGCAGCCGCCCTGCATGCCGCAGGACCTGGCACGCGTGGCCTCTGCCAGCCCTCTGTGCTCTTCTTCCCTCCCTCCTACCCTCACTGCCTCCCCCCCTCCACCCATCTCTCCCTCTCTGCATGGGCAAGCCCACTCTGCCAGCAGCCCTCTGCACTCGGGGAGCACACGTGTGCACTGCCCCTGGGGACTGACACACACTGAGAGCTCAGGGTTTCTAACCTATGGCAGGACCCTTCCACCACCACCACACAGCCAGGACTTCAGGCAGGCGCTGGCCACAGTTGTCAAGGTTGCAACCCAGCCCCGTAGCGCCCATGCAAACACTACTGCGTCCAGCCATCCTACGGGCTGCGCATTCTACCCTGGACCTCAGGGGGAAAGGGGCTGTGCGAGAGGGAGGGAAGCGTGGGCACGACTCCCAGCCTGCAGAAGCAACAGCAGCAGCAGCAGCACCAAGAGGCTCTGCCTGGGCTCACGGCAACCTCACGTTGTGTCCCGGGGCTCTGGCAGCAGCACCAGGAGACAAACGCCAACTACACTGAGGGCCAGCTCACCCTGCGGGAGTTGCATCCCGCGACTCACCCTCGACGGCCTCTAACTGGAGGCTCTTCGGGCTGACAACAATGCCCAGGCTGGCAGCCCACTCTTGCAAAGCCCAGTGGGCCAGGGCCTCGGGTCTCCTATTGGTAAATCTGGTCACGTCCAGGTAGTGTGGGGCCGAGCCCGGCCTGAGGAAAGAGGCCAGGGGGAAGAGAGCTGAGCGCTGCTGGATCCAGGGGCATGGCTTGGGACCCGGCTGCCCCAGGAACCACCACCGCCAGCGCTCGGCCGCCCTCTTGGGCCCAAGCGGCTGGCCTCCCAAGGAAAAGCACTGTGACAGTGGCAACCCATGCCAGCGGGGACCCGAGCGAGCCAGCACCGTGGCACCACTGCACCTATGGGTGCAAGCTGACACAAGGGGCCTGGGACACCCTGCTGGCCGTGGTCCAGGTGGGGGTGGTGTTTGCGTTGCGTGGGCACGGCCAAGAGGTGGGCTCTGAAGCACAGCATCCCACGTCACCCCCGAGCCCCAAGGCCCTGGCTCCCTCACGCTTGGGCACGCACCAGGTCGAGCCAGAAGCAAGCCCAAGGAGCCTGGGCAACGCCAACAGTCCCACTTGAGCTGGCCGGGGACATGTCCATGCGCCCGACTCCGGCAGGACCCAGGAACACACACGCTAGGGCTTCCCGCGGCCACCTGGCCCTCTGCTCCGTGTGCGTGCCGCATGCCGGCCACACCAGCTACTCACTCGCGCAATGACATCATTCACCCACACTTTCCCGGGGCACTCACACACACACTGTTACGGGCTTCACTGCCTACTACTCGCACGCAACACGTGGAGATGGGACGGCACGGATACCCCACAAGGGGTCCTGATCCTCCGGTCCCTTGCGACACAGGGAAGGCCCCAGGGGGCTTCACCACCGCAGCTGACGGCCAGGGACGTGGCTCTCAGGGAGGCACACTGCCAAGAGCGCTCTGCAGACCAGCAGTGCCCCACCAGAGCAGTGGTGCCGTGCAGGGCTAGAACGGGGCCTTCCTGGCACACGGCCGGCCTTCCACAGCTCACCCCACGGGCCCTCCCCCGGCAACACAGACACACCCCACATTCCACTCAGGCCTGGCAGCCATGTCCAACAGCCACTGTCACACGCACACACTTACCCCGAGTCCACGTCGGTCCTGCCAGTGGGAATGGCCAGTGCTTTGTCATTATCTGGTGTGGGTGGTCCTACAAAGGGGGCGGTGGCGTCCACTGCAACGGAGGGGCAGGGGAACTCCCGTGAGACCAAAGCACGCGAGGGTCCCCAGCGTGCCAGCTCCGCAGCCAGGGGAGGGCCGTGGCCTCAGCTCACGCCACCGCCTGGGTGGGCAGCCGCCCTGCATGCCGCAGGACCTGGCACGCGTGGCCTCTGCCAGCCCTCTGTGCTCTTCTTCCCTCCCTCCTACCCTCACTGCCTCCCCCCCTCCACCCATCTCTCCCTCTCTGCATGGGCAAGCCCACTCTGCCAGCAGCCCTCTGCACTCGGGGAGCACACGTGTGCACTGCCCCTGGGGCCTGACACACACTGAGAGCTCAGGGTTTCTAACCTATGGCAGGACCCTTCCACCACCACCACACAGCCAGGACTTCAGGCAGGCGCTGGCCACAGTTGTCAAGGTTGCAACCCAGCCCCGTAGCGCCCATGCAAACACTACTGCGTCCAGCCATCCTACGGGCTGCGCATTCTACCCTGGACCTCAGGGGGAAAGGGGCTGTGCGAGAGGGAGGGAAGCGTGGGCACGACTCCCAGCCTGCAGAAGCAACAGCAGCAGCAGCAGCACCAAGAGGCTCTGCCTGGGCTCACGGC